AAGGGCTCAAGGCCAGCTGGGATGAGGCTTTGAGCAACCACTGTTCCTGCAGCTGGTGCTGGGAGTTTGTCTTATCTGCAGGGCAGGAGTGACATTCCCCTGTGTTGGTTCCTCAGGGTGCTCAGGGCCGGGCTGTCTGGAAGGCACGGGGAGCTGGGGGGGGTGCAGTTTTTGTAGCTGAATGCTTTATTCTTTTGAGGCTCTTAACAAAAAGTGTATGAGACTAAGCTCAGTCTTCGGGCTGTTTCTACTGCTCGTGTTTACTCCAAGTACAGTCAGAGGGTGGCACAAACAGGGGTAGCACGAGTCATGCAGAGCTGCAAGTTGTGCCAGCACCACTCTGTGCTCAAATTGAACTCCGTGTCTCAGTTTGTCGGTGTTTTCTGGGCAACTGAAGCAAGCAGGGAGCAGCAGACTGGCTACTGCACTTGTGAGAGCCGGCAAAGATGTCTAGAGGCAGACTTTACTCAAAACTTTCCTTGTGCCCTGCTCATTTAGCCCCCCAGAGTGCCCACAGCAGCTGATGGGTACCCCAAACAATAGCACATGTGAGCTTTTATGTTAGTGGCTTCAGGAAATTCCTGGGTTTCAGTGTATTTTGTCTCAGCAGCTGTGCTGGGAGCGAGCAGCTCATCCCGGTGTCCCACAAAGTCCCTGCCCCTGTTCACCGACAGCTGAGCTGTGTCTGACCCAGCTGCCAGGCTCCTGCCAACAGCAGAGCACCTTCCCCTGGGCCAGGGACGGGGCACGCGGGGCATGGCAGCCGTGCCATCGCCGCGGCAGCAGCCGAGCCCTCCTCACCCTGTGCCCTGCCACCAGCCTGGCGCAACCCTGCTGAGCCGTCGCCGAGCTGTCCTGCACCCCGTGTCCCTGCACCCCGAGCTGCCCTGCACCCCGTGTCCCTGCGCTCCGCCGGGCACGCAGCCAGGAGCGGAGCCGGTGCCAGCAGGGGTGGCTCTCGCTGGGCACGCGGCATTCAGAGCTCCACCAGTGGGTACTTCCCCAATCCGAATGAGGTGTTTGCACATTTCCCAGTCATCTGATTGATTTCTGTTCTCCCTTTGTCACGAGCAGCAATGTTTTGTGGCTTTTTTGGTGTTTTTTTTTTTTGTTTTATAAGCTGCGCCTTCGCTGTGGTGTTTTACGGCTGTGCTGAACTGGCACGCACAGAAACAACTGGTTCCATTTTATTTTATTTTTTCCCCCCCTCTCTCTCTTGCACGGAGTAAATTACTGCCTGAAAGGGATGTGCTGATGCCATTAGTAACCCAGAAGGACACACAACAGTTTTGACATGCCGTCACGACGTGCTGGTCTTACCTGGCCAAAAAAGCCGAGAGACGATGGCTCAGAGGGCGCTGCCGTGAGGGGGGACTGACAGAGCTGCCGTTCCAATCCCGTGCTCCCCAGAGAAGTCAAGGCTGCTGCTGCCTCTTTCCTGCCTCTGCTCTACACTGGTGCCTAGTGGAAACAGTGGAAATTGGAACTCGGCTGCATGCAGAGAAAGAACTTCATGGGAAAAGCAGCGGAGAAATTCACAGCCAAACAGGAACTTCTTAAGTTTGGCTTTTACGTTCGGTGCGCCGTGATTTCCTGTCCCATTTCCCTCCCTGCATAAGACACAGGAAACTGAAACAATGAAGGGGTTTTGATGCCTCCTCCCAGGGAAGCCACATAACAGGGCAGATGAAAGAGTGTAAGAACCCCAGGAAAGGCCCAAATTTCCCAATGCTCATGGTAGACAATATGCTGGGAAGGGTTTCCATTTAATGCCAGTGACATTTGGGCTGAGGGGAGTCGTCTGCAGGCTGGAACCTGACCACATGGCATTATCTCAATCTGAGTAACTTGCCCTCCACGCTGGCACTTCTGCCTCCACATTAAGCAATCCCATAAAATGCCAGCCTGTTCCACCTGGAGCTGTGTTTATAATTCAGCTGAAACACAGTTTGTGATTTTATACAGTACCTTCCTGCGTAACTAACAGCGCGCTGCAAGACCTGCACACGCCTGGCACCCAGAGGTTGGTGTTCTTCGCTCTTACTCTGCAGTCTCAGAAATCCTGCACCTGATGGGCACGTGGGAGCCGGACCTGCCGGACCTCCCCGATGAGGAGGAGCAGAGAGTACCAGCAAGGTCCACTTACAGACTGGTAATCTTAGCCATACACTTCGTCCACCGTCCCAGTGTCCGTAAACTGAGAGGATCACGGAGAAGATGAGAGCTATCAGAGAGCTCCTGAACATCCCTTTCTCTAGGCAGCTGCAGTCTTCTCTCACAAAGGAAAAAATTAAAATTCCTAAAGAAACCATAGTCTTGCCACATGGAGCAACTCGGCTCCAGAGAACCCTTGCAGCAGTCCTTCTGCTCCTGGGATTACCTGTCTAGAGATTATTGTCTGGAACTTCACGTTGGGATCCCTGGAAAAGGTCTGGTATTTATCACGCGTAACGTGCTCTTTACATCCCAAAGCCCACTGAGAAGGATTAATCTGCTTTTTGAGCGTTGTGTGCATGGGAAGGAAGGTTCAACAACTTCCTCGTGACTCTGCCATGTACCGGAATGACAAGCAGGATCAAAGGCAAGATTCCCAGCTCCAAATGTGCCTGGAAAGACCATACTTGCCCCCAGGGGACAACCTGGAAGTGGCACACGCTGCGGGCATCGCAGACGTTAGATAAGGTTATGGCTTTTGATCTTCACCCTAACACTTCGGGCCAACCCCCCTTTCGCTTGCAGATCCACCAGGGAGTGCTGGTAACATGGTAGGCAGGTTTTAAAAAAAGAAACAGTTGGCACATCTGCCAAGCTGCCCAGACAAAGTACAAGTGGACGGAGTCAATCATTAGCCAGCCAGACAGGCCTTGAACCAGATCGCTTCAGCAGACGCTAACTTACCGATTCCGTCCTGCTCCCAAGCGAACTTTGCTCCGTAATGACTGACAGCTGATGCAACGATAAGAGAATGAGGTCTATAAAAATCCAGCTTGGGAAGTTCCATCTGGAGCTTTTCCTACCTCCTCGTCCAAGGCTGGTCCTCCAGGCGACGCGACAGCTCGCTCCGGGAAGATGCGCTGCTGGAAAACGATGGCCATCTTCCTGCTCTGCTCGCTGCTGCTCAGCCAGGTAAGCAGAGCCGATGACTCAACGTGCCCACTCAAATGGTCAGCTTAGTACTAAAATCTTGGGATTTGCATGAATAAGAGGAACTGGCAGGGGCCCAAGGTGGCAGTGCAGCGCTTTCAGAGGACTCCACATCCCAAAAAGGTGGAGTCGCTGCCTGGTGAATACTGGGGGACTCTGAGGCACAACTCAGCCAGTAATTCTGCCTTCCCTCCCGGGAGGGTTGAGAACAGTTAATTTTTATACTTCCTACCTCTCTGGGGCTCCGACACGCGTCGTTCCGCTGTAACGGCACACGCTGGGATCTGAAACAAGAAACATTCCAAGTTGTCCACCTAAGGCAAGTGACCTGAGCGTCACAACCGGTCCCTGCAGCTGCCACATGTCCCGACAGCGGCTGTGACTCTGTGTCAGTCCCAACGGTCGCTGTGACTCTGTTTCAGACACGCTCTGCCTCCTTGCACCGCCCGCAGCCCCGGCTGGCGCGACAGCGGCGGATGACGCCGTTCTGGAGAGGAGTCTCCCTGCGACCCGTCGGAGCCTCCTGCAGGGATAACAGCGAGTGCATCACCATGCTGTGCAGGTAAGGACTCCTGATCAACGTCGGGCTCAGCAACGCTTGACATTGTGTTACGCAGAGGAAGTTCGTGCTCACTCTCACCGAGATACAGAATTAATTCCGTGCCTAAAAATGGTACCAGGAATAGGGATGGGGCAATAGATCTAGACTCTTTTGTAAGCGATGCAAACAGAGCAGAGTCCACGTGCCCTTGATGGCAAACCTTAATCCTTTGTTGCAACCCAGAATAACCTGTGCCGTGGTTTAACCCAGCCACCAACTGAAAGCCACGCAGCTCACCCGCCCCGGGGAACGGGGAAGAGAATAAAGGGGAAAAGGGAAGGAGACCTGTGAGATAAGAACAATTTAATAATAATAATATAAAATTTAAAGTAGTAATGATAAATTAATAATATATGTATATATACGCATAAAAAGATGATAATATATACAAACAAGTGATGCATGG